GTGTCTAGCAAGCGAGGCTGCAGGTGGGCGAGGACTAGGTCGGCGTTTGAAGAGGGCAGAGTGGGATGGCGGGCCGGTGCAAATTACAATTACCGTGGGGATGCGTCAGGCAGATGGGGGCGTCGACGTCCGTTGTTGGTTTCTGTCGCAGAAAGTGAGCCAAGCGGCTCCTCCGGCCCCGAAATCACGTGTTGCCGGCATATCGGCAGCCGCTGCACACCACGCTGAACCGCAAGGCTCAACCTTGAACAGCCAGGAAGAAGGTGCAGCGCGATGCACAGGCGTCACCGGTGATGAGTTTTCTCCCATCGCGTCAGCCCTCACAGTCCATCCAGGTAGCCTTGGAAACATTGCAAGACTTCTCCGGCGACCTGTCCTAGCGTATCCGGTGATCCCTGCACGCTGCCCCTCCATCCGTACTGCGTAATGCTGTGTTAAGGCTGAGACGGAGGGGCTTCACAAGCAGCCGCATTTGACCGCGACGCCGTTGGGACTGTTGCTTGCGTCGCTAGTCTGCTAGGATGAAATTGATGTCAATAGTGAATGTACACCGAGTCGTGATAGCCATAGCATCTGCAACCACATGCGCAACCCACCCGTGTCTAGCCCGCTCATTAGACGGCGGCTTTCTAATCATGCGCTGTGATGTTCAGCAATCATGTCGGCAGCGGTGCAAACGTTTTACAAGACGGAATTGGCAACAGTGGCTTGTATGACATACCTTACCGCCGCGGCCGAAGCTATTCTCCGTCAACAGCGTGATGCTGGGATATGGTGGTGGGACGTGCCATTGATGCAATAGTAGTGTGCCCCGCTTGTTCCAAAGACTTTCCGCGTACATATCTTGACGACCCCCACCAGACTTCTTCTTCCTTCTCTTGACCATCTCCCGCTTTATAAGCCTCAATTGCCTCGTATTGCACGCCCGGTCGCTGCAATTCTACCCCGCCAACACTTTCTCATCCACCCACCTACACCCACACGAGAACGCAATCATGTCTTCTGAGCCCGTCGGAGATTTCGGCCTCATCGGCCTGGCCGTAAGTACTCCATGCTCCGATCGCGTTCACGGCGAGTGCAGCAGAAAGTGCGCGTCGTCGTACTTTCCTGCCAGCCATTGAGTCCAGAGCGCGAATTATCCGGAGACATTCACCTCCAATGCATCAAGGCCAACCATGCTGACAATACATATAGGTCATGGGCCAGAACTTGATCCTCAACGCGTAAGTCACGACCAACGTCATAACCTACCAATCAATACTAACATCATCCAGTGCCGACCACGGCTTCACCGTTGTTGCTTTCAACCGAACGTAAGCGCCTCGATACACCGCGCCGCCAATACACACTGACAGGCAGATAGCGTTGCCAAGGTCGACCGTTTCTTGAACGATGAGGCCAAGGGCAAGTCCATTGTCGGCGCCCACTCCATCAAGGAGTTCGTCTCCAAGCTCAAGAAGCCCCGCCGCATGATGATGCTCGTCATGGCTGGTAAGCCCGTTGACGACTTCATCGAGCTCCTCCTCGAGGGAGGTGCCGAGGAGGGCGACATCATCATCGACGGTGGTAACTCCCACTACCCCGACACCAACCGCCGCACAAACTACCTCAAGTCCAAGGGTATCCGATTCGTCGGAACTGGTGTCTCTGGAGGAGAGGAGGGTGCCCGCTACGGTCCTTCCATCATGCCCGGTGGTAACGAGGAGGCCTGGCCATACATCAAGGTAGGAATGCGCGAAGAGATGAACAGGACAAAACTAACAATATCCAGGATGTCCTCCAGTCCATCTCCGCAAAGTCCGACGGCGAGGCCTGCTGCCAATGGGTTGGTGACGAGGGTGCCGGTCACTACGTCAAGATGGTCCACAACGGTATCGAGTACGGTGACATGCAGTTGATCTGCGAGGTGAGACGAGACGATCATACAGAAATAAAGAGGCGACTGACAGAAACAGGCCTACGACATCATGAAGCGCGGTCTCGGCATGAGCAACAAGGAGATTGGCGACGTTTTCACACAATGGAACAAGGGCGTTCTCGACTCATTCCTGATCGAGATTACCCGTGACATCATGTACAAGAACGACGACGATGGTGTTGCCATCGTTGAGAAGATCATGGACTCTGCTGGTCAGAAGGGTACCGGAAAGTGGACCGCCATCAACGCGCTCGACCTCGGTATGCCCGTTACCCTGATCGGAGAGGCCGTCTTCGCCCGTTGCCTGAGTTCGCTCAAGCAGGAGCGTGGCCGTGCCGCCGGTCTTTTGGACGGCCCCACCCCCAGCTTCTCTGGCGACCGCCAGGCCTTCATCGACAACCTCGAGCAGGCTCTTTACGCGTCCAAGATCATCTCGTACGCGCAGGGATTCATGCTGATCCAGAACGCCGCCAAGGAGTACAAGTGGAAGCTGAACAAGCCCGAGATTGCCCTCATGTGGCGCGGTGGATGCATTATCCGCTCCGTCTTCTTGAAGGAGATCACCAAGGCTTACCGCCAGAACCCCGAGCTCGAGAACTTGCTGTTCGACGACTTCTTCAGCAAGGCTATCCACAAGGCCCAGTCCGGATGGAGAGACACCGTTTCCAAGGGTGCTCTCTGGGGTATCCCCACCCCTGCTTTCAGCACCGCCCTCAGCTTCTACGACGGATACCGCGCCAAGGACCTGCCCGCCAACCTGTTGCAGGCGCAGCGTGACTACTTCGGTGCCCACACCTTCAGGATCAAGCCCGAGTTCGCCAACGAGACCTACAAGGAGGGCCAGGACATCCACGTCAACTGGACCGGAAGGGGTGGTAACATCTCTGCTTCTGTAAGTTTCACGCCCATTTATCATTTAGAAGACACTAACAACTTGCCAGACCTACAACGCTTAAAAAGGGGATATCCATTGCTTGTTAGACGGGAGCAGAGGGCTGCCCCGAGTTCATGTTTTATGAAGAACGTGAAAACTGAGATACCTCGAATCTAGAATGAATATAACGATTCGCATGTCCAATGTTTGCATGTGCTGGTGAATGTTTGAAGCTCAGCTTGACCGCTGTGTTGTTACTCGTACGCTAGCTGCAGTTAGCGTTGATCGTCGCGTACCTCCAGGTAGACCCTTGACGAGCCACCCCACTATGAATTGAACATTGTTACGAGGTCGCACGCGCATCGGCTTCCCAGCAGTCAGGATACACTCGGGACGGAAGCGTCTCCAAGGCCTACAGCATATACCTTCTATAATTGGCCCCGCGGCAAGCGCCCTGCGTAAAGGCTTGGCATCGCGACCACGGAAAGTTGCAGCGCATCACGACAACATCAACCCACCCGCCTCGCGCTCCGCCAGCTCCGCCACGCCAGCGCTGCCCCACGACCCGGTTGCGCGTGCGTCGTCGCGTTTTCATTTCTTTCATTCCTTTGGATTGTATATTCACTGCTTGTATGAGTCTCTGGCGTTAGGTCCTCCGTCGTAGAATCTGGGCAGGGACTAGGTGCTGACGAGACCCAATTGTAGCGGAGCAACACGTTAGCCTCCGCCGCCCGTAATACACAAGTCGCCTAGACAGAGGCACACAAGAGCAGGACCGTCATGGCGGACAACAAGCGCAATAGCGTTGCGGGCAAGGTTGCGACTCCGAACCTAAAAGCCGGCCCTGGATCGAACAAAGATGTCATTGGCGCGGATTCCGATCTGTACAAGGCTGTTGGGTCACGGTACGTTCCGCTCGTCGAAATGGTATCACCGCTGGGATGGTAGCTGACAGTTTTCCAGCATCAAAGTCACATGTGCCCCTGGCAAGAACGTCCTCGAGGGCACCCTCTTCACGGCCTGCAACCTCACCCACGCCATAGCCATCAACACCGCGCCCGCTCCACCGAACCCCTCCCCCACCTCCTTATTCAGCCAGCCCGGCGACTACCACATCATCCCATTCGCACACATTGAGTCCTTCGAGATCATCGGCACAGGAGAGCGCGTAGCAGAGTCCGCAGCGGGTTTCGATGGCGCACTCCCCAGCATCTCCAAGGTAGATCTAGCCGCGCTACAAGCCCGCGAAGACCAGACCATCCGCGAGATGAAGAAGAAGGACATGCAGAAGGGCAAGGGCGTTAGTGCCGAAGCACAGGAGTTGTTCGATGCTATATCGAGGACGTAAGTCACATCAGATCTGGCAGAGACAGGATATCAGGGCTAACATACGAACCACAGTCTACCAACTCGGTGGGCAGATACGCAGATCGTCGTCAACGACTCCGTCCTCATCCAGGCCCCGTACACGCTCGACAGCATCAAAGCACCCGCCGACAAGCACCAGGCTAAGGCTCACGTTCGCAAGGTCGTCGAAGCCTTCTACCAGCGTAAGAAGGGCGCGTCTGCGGGAGGAGCGGCTCGCGCTCCGGTCGCTGTGCCCAACGCCCCTAGGAAGGGAGGTTAGAGTCCGGTCACCCCAGGGGTTTGGCGACGGACAACTTGATGTAAGCCTTATCCGCAGAGGCCATGTCGCTGGCTGGAGAATTTCATCTTGTTGGTAGTGGGGGATATGAAACATGAAAGAGATGTGTAATGATGGTAGCAGTCATGCATCTTATGAGAGGGTGCTGGATGGTAGATATGCTATGCAGTATGCCACAGCAGGCATTTCAGAAATTCACAAAATGTTCAAAAGCCACGGCTCGTCTCGCCGTGTGATGTAAGTGCGAAACACTCAAAGGACGACATCGATGTCTTTAGGTTACGGAAAGAACACAACAGCTCAGCTTAAGGCGTACGACAGGATCCCGACGGACGCGCGGAGACAGGCACGAGCATAATGAAGACTACACGGTGGGATGTTTGTCATTTTACAACAAGGCATGCCCTGCGTAATACGTTCTGGCTTTGAGTGTTAGCAAGCTGCAGCTGAAAGCCTTTCTCATTCTGGTGGCAATTGGAACGCTCCTATAACTCATCGCTAGGTTATAACACCAGTCTTGTTCCGACGCACCCGTTCAACCCGCATGTTTCACAACGAGCAAGATGGATCCCTTGAGCATCGCAACGAATGTGGTAAGTTTAGCAAAACCGGGGCCTATTTGAGGCTTTCAAGCTAACCATACTTCTAGCTCCGAATCATTACGACTTTCCTCGGAGCTGCCAAAGGCCTCAACGACATACGGAACAAATGGAAGCACGCGCCCGTTACCGTGCGATTCCTCTGTTCCCAGCTCAAACTCAATGGGACCTTACTTTCGCGGCTGCAGGCACTACTTCTTGACGAAACGAATGCTGTGCACGCGGACCCAGACTTGGTCGATACGCTCGATACGACTCTGATAAGCTCTCTCGAGCTGGGGGTATGCCTCGGGAAGTACGTGTCGAAGATCATGAAGGGCGTCCATGGCGATGGTAGCATGAGCTCGAAAGCCAAATTCAGGACTCTGTGGAATGAGGATGAAGTCAAGGACTTTTTGGAACGGCTGCATCAACAGTATTCTGCGATCAACACGTTGATCGGCCCGCTGAACAGGTGAGTGAAGACAAAGTCTCCATATAGCGTACAAATACAGCCATGAATGGCCGACTGAATTTAGCAGGGATTCTTCGACCGAGAGAAAGAAACCCCTTAAGGAAAAGGAACAAAGCAAGACGATGCGAACAATGAACGAACACACCCAACACATGCGAAAGGCTTATGCCCTCACAGTGGCGGAGTCTACATTCAAAACCGAAGATTCCCCTAGCAGTCTCTTGAGCAATCTCTCCACCCTTGTCGGTCCTACTGACGGCTCTTCCGAACAACACTTCGAATCTGTCCTCTCGAACTCCAGAGTATACAAGAAAGCTTCTAACGCAGCTATGAGCCGGCGACCGAATACCGATTTCGACAATGCAAGCATGAGGACTAATCATTCTACAACTGCAGAGATTGGCGACCCGGACTTCATTACCGACCCCTCAAACACGGAAGAAGACACTGCTACTACAAGGCCTATAATTGTTCATATCTGTGATCCTGTTCATAGGGCGAGCAGAAATCTCAATGTTGCAGGCGTAACGGGTATTTGTACCGAAAGCTATCCTACCCAAGAGCCCGGGAAGTTGAGTTATAAGCCCCACGACCGGATACAGAACTTACGGAAGGTAGATGCGGCGTGGTGGTACGGCGCTACTGAACCTCCAGAAAATGTGCCTGAAAACCGTGGGATAATTCTTCGTCGAGACTTTTACCCTGTTTACAGGCTTAACGAATGGAAACCTGCATACACCGGCAGAAGCATGGGCACCGAAGCCGTCGGCGAGTGTTGGTTGCGCTATGAAGAGGGAGATCGTGTGGAATTCGATGTAAGTGACGTGAGACCCTGCTTCCATCACATTGAGCTAACCATACCAGCGAGTGTACCACAACTTCATATGGGTCGTCAGAGTATGTAGGAACTCAGACCATCACGCTGGGTCAAACGACATAGACTCACGGTGTCACAATGCGTCAACAGAGGGGCAAATGCTAGTCGATGTCATAGTGCTGAGTGACGAGATCCGGGAACAGGTCGATACTCTGTTAGCACATTGTGCTTGTCCTCTTACGCGTCTCGTCGGCTTGGAAGGACGTGAACGGTCCAAAGAGATTATAAAGATGGTAAATGAAGACGGTTGGCCCGAATCTGAACAAAAGATTGTAGCGGATTGCAAGAGTTTTAGGGAACTACAAGAAGCGGCAGAGTTATATAGGATGTGTGGATAATAGGGCTGGGACCTACAATGAGTCACAGGTGTGTCCACAGACACGGCAAAAAGGGAGATGAAGCATACGTGGCAGGATACGGGTTCAATTCGCTGGGTGAAAAGTACGCGAAGCCCATCACGCTGCCTTGTGCTAATATACAAAACGCCTCAACACATGCTGTAGTCCCCAAACCCCCCTCCCCCCAACCTCACCGCTCTCAACCCCTCCACTCAAGCGCATCCTTCTCCAACACCGCATGCCTCATCCGAAGCAAGTCCACCCGGCTGGTGTACGTCAGGCGCCCCTCTGCCTTCCACCTCGTGTTGTACGGGATCTGGTACGTATCCAGGACATCGACAAACGCACCAGCCCTGGGCTCATACGCCCCCGCCGTCTGATCCACCTCCAGATTCATCTTCCCGGGCCCCATGCCCCCACCATAAGAGACATTGTCGAAGCCGCGGAAATTGGCTCCAACGACGTATGTGCTGCGCGCACGCAGCGAGGGGGTCTTGTTGGTGAGGCCGTTGCCTCCGGCGGTTGTGATGGGCATGCCGATCATGCAGTCGTCCATCTTCTTGACGATGATGAACGGATAGACCTTGATGCAGATCTGGCCGTACTCGGACTGGACGAACCAGTCGCGCGAGGTGGCTGCCATGCGGGGGAGTGGCGCCCATCCGATGTCGCCTACGCTGATGGCGTTGATGGCGGTGGGGTCGAGGCGCTGGGGGCGCTCGGGCCCGTGTGGTGGTAGTGGTGGTGGTGAAGGCGAATCTTTGTCGACCTCCATCTCGTCTTCCTTCACCTCTCCCTCTTCGATCTCTCCCTCCTCCATCTCCTCCTCCATCTCATCCTCCCCCATCTCCCCCTCCCCTTCTTCCAAACCCTTCCCCAAAACCTCACTATCCCACCTCGCCAAAAACGCTTCAAATCGCTGCACGCAAAGCAACAACTCACCGGAAATCGTCTCGATCTCGTCGGCCGTAGCCTCTTCTCCTTGTAGTGCCCGAAGGCGGTTCTGATGTGCCTCTATAGCGAGGACTTCCATGGCGATGTCGCGCCCGAGGTTGATGGTGGTGAGGGAGGGCATGGCGGGCCATGCCGGCGACGTTGCCGTGAAGGCGAGGAGTGTGGTGGTGGTGTGGGTGGTCATGGTGACTATGTGGTTAGTTACGGGAAGGGAGGGGAGGGGTTGGGGGGGATGTAGGATGTAGGGAGGGCTATGAGAGACGGGAATTGGGGTGCTGGAGGTACATGTAGGCGGTAGAGGGCAGGATGCCACAAGGGCAGTGAGATGCTGGGGGTGATATAGACGGTAGGGAGTGAGCTGCAGCAACGTATGAAGCTGCCGAAACCCCTGTAGGCCGCAAAGCCACTGATTCCGTAACAAAAAGAGAGGATACTTACGAGTGCAGTCAGTGTGTGTTGCTGAAGAATCTCAAAAATCGGCGGCATCAAAACTTTTGTTATGGGCGTCCTGGGTGCAAACGCTCGTTGCTGTCTTGGCGGTGAAAAGTGCGGCTCACTGCTCACGTTCACTGTGAGTTCGGCAGAGAGAGAGGAGCGAGAAGCTGGATGTGAGAGCGGAAGTGAGCGTGACGGCGACATTGGGGTTGGAATTTGTATGGGATATGCAAGAAATGAGGTTGACGGATACGTGGGAGATGGCATCTGTACGTAGGAAGGGCAGTGCGTGATGTAGGCGTATTGTGGCATTAAGGCGCGATGGATACTAGTGGCATGACATTAATGTAAGCATAGTATGGCATTGAAATGTTGGAGATATCTGCTACAGAACTTGATGTCGTATGCATGAATCTCTGGTTCTGTATCCTACATCATACAAAAGAAGGTCTCCGTCTGCACAAGTTCCTCAAATCGCAAATTTATACTGCCTTTGCACTTTTCGCCGCTCTTTTCCACTTCACATGACAACTAACCCAGCATATTGGGCAGTATTGTAATGTCCGAATGGGAATGTCTGAAGATGTGGAGTTTGTCACCAGTAATATTATGTCTGTGACTAGTTTTGATTGGAACTACTACAAAGGCATTTTCTCATCTAAGCCTGCGTTAGTTCCGTCTGTTCTGCTCTTATGATCGGACTGAACATGTCTACTTCCACTCCACCCCCCAAGTAACCTCCCCCTTTCTAAACGGCACGACCTCACACTCGCCCCCACCCTCCTTCCTCAACACATCCACAACCGTCTCCTTTCCCTTCCTCAACACAATCCTCTCCTTCTTCTCATCCTCAATCTGATAAAACTTCCTCCCCCATCCCCCAAAGAAGCCCTCTAGAACCTCTTGGCTCACCTCCTCCTCTTTGATAACGCCCCTGGCAATGCCTACCTCCAACGCATCAAGCACATAACCCACCGCATAAGGCTGCGTAAAAACCCCCGCAGCAACCTTATCCTCCCCCCTCTTCTTCCCCCTCGGATGCGGCGCCGAGTCCGTCCCCAGAAAAAACTTCCCATTCCCCTGCACCACCGCGCGGAGCAACGCATCCCTATCCTCAGGCGTCTTCGCAACAGGCTTGCAGAAACAAAAGGGATCGCCTGCCCAGTCATCGATGATGAGGCTGAGGTGGTGCGCGGTGATTGTGCCGCTGACGGAGGGGCCGCAGGAGCGGACGGCGGAGAGGGCGGCGGATGTGCTGCAGTGCTCGAGGATGATGCGCAGGGCGGGGAACTTGGCGTGTAGGAGCAGGAAGGTGGGGAGGAAGGCGGGTTCGGCGTTGAGGATGGTTATGGCGCCTGTTTTGCTGTCTTTGGTGGTAGTGATGTGCGTGTTTGGGGGCGTGGACGGGACTTCGCCGTGCAGGTTTAGGACCATGTTTTGTTTCTCCATTTCGGCGAAGACGGGGTAGAAGGGTTCGTAGGAGAGGACGCCTGAGGAGGAGTTCTGTGGGGTGGTTAGTCCGCTTGTCACTCGCATGAGTTGCCAATCTCTTCCTCTGTTATCCTCTTTCATGTACACGTTTTGAGACTCAGTGGGGAAGACTTTACGTACCGTAGTAACACCAGCAGGATACGACTTGACCCCCGTAATCCCCGCTTTCTTCGCCTCACGAATAACCTCCGGCGTGATATCCTCGTGAAGATACAACGACATGACGTAATTCACATTCGGCTCAATAGCACGAAGTCTATCGCGGTACTCGAGACATTGCTTCACGGATGTGATAGGCGGGACCAGGTTGGGCTATAGTGATGGTTAAGACGAGTTAGAGAGCACCGTGACCGAAATGTTGCGAGAAGCGTAAATTGACAACAACACATGAACAGAAAGGGAGGACGAAGAGGAGCAACATTGACGATGGTAGCGAAAATGAAATGGCCGATACCTTGGATGTGGAATGAATGGTATCAAACTTACCATAACATACACCTGATTCACACCACCCTTGCGAATCGTAGGCGTAACCAGCTGCGACATCTCGCCATCGCGAAGATGGACGTGAGCATCATATGCCGCTGGCAGCTCAATCTCGGTCAACTCTGTAAACTTCATGTTTGGATTAGGTGACTATGGATCGTGGAGTTAGTCGTTGTTGTTGTTACCCCAAAAAAGTTGTCCCGCATTTTTGGCGAGATCGGCGGCGGGCGCAGATAGAGCCGCACTAGTCCGGATGTGGAAGGCATCGCCATATGTATGAACTTGAATGTGCTGAACATCGGGAGTATTATAGCTTCACGATGCCGATTAGAGCTACAGAAGTACACATCAAGGCTGTGATATATCGACTTTATGCCAGGATATTGGGTATTCGCAACGCGTGGTCCAACTACTTGGCCCACCACAAGAAAGATCCTCCCATCGCCAAAGTCGCCCTTCAACTCCCCCCTGAACATACCAGACCGACTAATCAGCATCCACAAACTCCTCTTCAAAGACCACCCCTCTTGTCTCAACCTCAACCCTCTTATTCCAATTCTTCGGCACATACTCCACCGACAACCCTGAATGACGAGTATAACGAGTCTTACTCGAGCTCGTCGAACTCACACTGCCGCTTCGATGCGAGAACACAGATTTCTTCCTACAAGGTTCTGTTTCAAGTTTGATCCCGTCTTGTGCTGATGGCGTTGCGCTGACTCGGGGTTGTTTCCTTGGTCGCTCTTTTGATGTGCGGCTCTGGCTTTCGGGGGCGAAAGGGTCTTCATCTTCTTCTCGACTGCGTTTGGTGGGGGTTGGTGCGGAAGTTGGTGTAGAGGAGGAAGTGGACATGCTAGATAAGGAGAGTCGACCGACGCCAGCAGCGAGAGATTTGGAAAGTCGAGAGAAGAAGCCGGTTGTTTGGGGAACCGAGGCATTGGGTTGTGATATAGTTGGAGTCTGTGAAGTTTCGCTGATTGCGCCATTAGGCATGCTCGCATTCCTTCTAGATGGCCCCGGAGTACTGTTCACAGTCGAAGTAGCACCATCGGTTTGCCGTCGTCCAGGTATCATCACCACCGGTCCGGAACTCCTGCGGCGATGTTCCTTCTGAGAAGGCGATATATCCTGTGCTTTAGATTGAGGTCTGGGCTTCTTGACACTCTTCTCGATTTGTGACGTTTCAGCGTCGCTAGTTGCGTCCACCACCTCAGCTGAGTTCTGCGTCGTTCCGTTCGCAGTAAACCCCAACTCGTTCTTCTGGACGGCCTGTAGTAGAGACAGACCCATGGCAAAAGCAACCTTACGGTCCACCCCATTGCCAACAATTTTGTATTGCTCCGAGAGGGAGCCAATGATGGGCTCTTCGTCCATATAGCCCTGGGTCCGACGTGCCTCCAGTACACTGATAGACCGATGTTGATCCCAATGCAATGTAGCGCCATTTCGAGAATCTCGGATGACTATATTTGTTGTGATAGTCGGTACCAATCCCGCTGCTTTGATCCGTCGGTACGCTTTTCCAATGTCGGTCCTTGGGTCTCGTAGCGAAGTCGGAATCAGACCACGTCTATCTGCTTCTTTGTAGTCACAGCCCGGAGGCTGTCGTGGAATGCATCTGACCAATGCTCGTTGCTTACGCGTTGGTACTTGCGGTAAGCGGTGGTCTGGGAACGGAATACAAGTCTGTACGATACCATTGCCAATGTCGGGTAGTTCCGCATCGACGGAAACCGCTGGTACATACGGAAAAGGCGTTGGGTAGTGCTCGCGTTCACCAAATTTCTGTCCGTTGGGTAGATAACCTAAGCTTCGTCCCGCCGTCTCCTCGTAAGGCCGCGCGTGGGTGTGCCAAGGTTGGGCAATTGGCTCAAGTCCGGGTGCAGCTATGGTGAGGATCAGGCGTGAACGCTGTTGCGCGCTGCCGTAACTCCAAGCGTCCATGATGTACTGATTACACTGATATCCCATTGATACGAGTGAAGCAACAACCTGAGATAACACGTTCTGGTCTTCAAATCCAGTCCGTGTTGAAGCCATGTTGACGACGTTTTCGAGTATACCGTACAAAGGGCGATACAGATCCACATACGAGCAGAAGGTGCTAATATGTGACGCATTCTTCAGGGACTGCGGACTGAGAATATTATGCTGAAGAGCTGAGAACCCAGGACATGGCGATCCAGCAGCAAGGAAGTCGACTTCTCCGACCCGAGGGACAAGGTCAGGTTTATTACCCTTGAGAGCTGCGTCAAAGTGATCATCGACGGAGCCACAGAACAGATGCATCGTCTTCGGGCTCTTCGAGTTAGCTCGCTGAGTGTGGATGGCATGGGGACTGAAGTCGACAGCGGAGTGGAAGGTAACTGCTCCACCTTCTTCAAGGCCTCGATCAAGCGAGCCGCCGCCACTGAAGATACTCATTCCTCTCAATGAATTAGCAGAAGCCATGTCAGGGCCCTCGTTGAATGTCTTCGGAAGATTCCGCAGAAAGATGAGTTTCTGATCGCCTTCCACGCCAGTCAATCCCATAGACAAAAACCAGAGATCACCAGCACCGCCACGATTGTACGTGAAAGGTATCTGTCCGTTCTGGACGTCAGACTTACTCACGAACTTGACATAGCAGCGCCTCTGGATGCGGGAAATGGACACGTCTTCGTATTCGTCCGTGAGGACAAGCTCATTGGCCAAGAGATTCAAGCGCCGAGCTTTGGCTGCTAGTTCTCTGCAGTCGCGTTCCAGTCGTAACAGTCTTCGCACTCTGACAATCCCCTTGGCGCGGTCAAGGTGTTGAAAGACGGCTGGATCCAGGAACTTGTCTCTGTTGCGGGTCCTTGATAGATATACCGTGTCGCCTCGACAGTAATCATCGACGAATGTGCGCTTTTCCTTCCGACACGTGCAAGTCTTGTGTGAAGATCGAAGACTGACAAATGCACTGTCTTGTGTGACGTAGGTTTGCCGAACGAAAAAGCGCTCAGCGTCGATAGTAGATGGTGACCAGTCTAAATCGTACCTCCCCTTGATGTCCGTAGACAATAGCTCTCCTTCGGAGCAATTGCAGTTATCCGATAGGAAGACCTCGTTCTTGTAGGGATATTCCGCCTTGAAAATGTTCGTCTCGTGGTGTCGATAAATCCATAGCACGAACAACCTCTGCGTTCCATCCTCCAAGGACTCGGTACCCTGGACGTATGCGAGCCATTCCCATGTCGTGTTGCGCCAAACGGTTGCGTCAGCCTCGTCGGGGATCAAGGCAACGACATCGCTAACCTTCACTGGTGAGTCACCGTACGGTTGACATACATTTCGTCGCGGAGTAGTCGGTTTCCGTGCCCAGAAACTCTGCGCAAACCCCAGCCTTCGTTTCCTGCGCTCTTGTTGTATCCTGACCGTGTCGGTAGGCCGTTTTGCCTGAATTTGCTCACCAAAGTACATGTGCTTGAAGCAATCATAAACTTCTGGTGTGGCGATGGTGTGCTCAATGATCTGCTTCTGCGCCTTGACAGCCGTTAACCCTTTAGCCATGCACTCGCTCCAGAGAGGATGAGCAAGCAGTTGTGTCGAGTTGGGGAGATTGAAGGCTTGGTTGTAGAAGTATTCAATGTAGGCATGCACGGCGACGCGAAAGTCAGTTTGGTGTCTGAAAGCAGTATGCCATTGCTGGAAGTCCGCGCATTGATCAAAACGGGGCGAGAGCCAGTCATAGAAGTCTTTGCGGAAGTCGTTGAGCCCGACTGATCCCACGGGTTGGCTGTCCACATAGTCGATAATATGCTTTCCCAGTTGCGCTACCCAGAGGAAGGATTTTTGAAACTCTTTGTAGCCTGGGGCCGGCTTGGCAAGTCTGTACCATATGTCGTAATGTTTGTCCTTACTCGCAAACGTAGACTGTATGTAAGTAGTAACACCAGAATTCTCATCGTCTCCGTAGCCCTCGACAGAGCTATCCTGAATTGGTACTGCATGTACGTAGTGTTTGGTCGATCCCACGCAGATGAAGCCATCGAAGCACAACTTCTTCGCGATCGAAACCTCCAAATAGTGCAGGCTCGTCAGCTCATACGCTCTGCATTCGCTCTCTGGTGTCCGATAAATTTCGTAATCTTGCAGGTCCACAATCAAAAGTTGCTTCTCAGGCCTCGGCCCATCGTACACAGGCTCTTCGCGGGATTGCTTTCTCCATTCACTCTTCAAGCTTCGTAATGCTTCCGATTCGGGCGTTACAGGTACGGGCGGAGACCAGTTTGCGACATGTGACCTGGCGAAATCACTCAGCGCCGGCAATGTGATTTTCGGTTCGCTTCGTCGTCTCGGTTGTGCGCTCTGTGTGCTTTGCCTCCTCTTCTTTGGCTCTGGCGTTTCTAGCGTGATGTTGTCACCGATTGTCGCATCCATCGTGCGCTCGCAATGTGGGTGTGATCCTCGGCGAGATTTCGGTGTATGCGTGAAGTGTCGCGCGCGTCGTACAGGAGTGAGAAAACCGCGAAACGATCGAACCTGCTATCTCTCTCTCTTTTCTCTAGGCAGCATTCGTAATGATTGAAGAACAGTGAATGCGGTGGTGACGGTGACTCTTGCAGCTGTGAATTCCTCCTCTTGCAATCACCGCGACCAACAAAGGTCATCAACGCGTCGCGTGTCAAACACCCAGCCACAATAAAAACAAGACAACAGAACACCAGGTCAAACAAGCTGTCTCAGACAGCAGTCAAACATTTCGGTAAAGAGAGAGACACCGTTGACGACACGCGGAGATTATCGCGCTCGGACTGGTAGCGATGTTCGATTAGGGAAGGCAGCAGCAGAGCCTCACCCCGGGGCAAGCGCACCAGCCACCCGCATTTGGAGAGGCAGGTGGGACATGGTCGTTGGATAGGTGGATCGCCCGTTTGGTGAGTTGATATTATGGGTCTTTGTGAGAGGATAACGACGGATGGCAGTTTGCGATGAGAGGAGATGTTGCAAGCGTTAGGTAGGGCGGGATGCTGAGGGTGGCTTTAGCACGTGCTGGTCGTACGAACGGGTGGTTGTGGAGATCAGCACCACCAGAAGGGGTAGCGCAAAGCAGTAGATCTCTCAACCTTTACCTCAATTGCATGCAGTGCATGTAAAGTCGGTAAGAATCGCGTGGTACTATCGTTTGTTTTCCTACCGCCAGTAGAGATACATCGATTGATCAGGTCGACAGGTGAAAGAACCCCTTGACAACACCATGGTATCCGTACTTAATGTAGTAGAACAACACATCGTTAAATACTATTGAAATGACATGAAATCTAATGCAGCGCTCATGCACGGCGCAAGCTCGCCAGGACATATCAACAGTACGCCGCCCTACTCAGAACGCCTCTGTAACGCCTTACTTCTGCATGCAGTTTCCGCGAACAGTGACGTTTACCCCCATTCCCGAAAGATAACCATTGTGAGATACTGCTGAATCATCCGTTCTTCGGAGCATAGTCCCAGATATGCGACGAATCCCAACTCTCCGTTTCTTCCTTCCTCGCCTTAGGATCATCCCCCCTCTTCTTCGCGTCCTCTCTCAGCGCATCCAACTCCCTATCCATACCACTAATCTCCGTCCTCAGTTTATTGATAGTCTCAATCTCTTCCTTGGAGAAATTGGGATCCTTGCCGTCCTTCTTAGCCTCCTCCTCGCGCTTGTTGAACTTATCCAGCTGGGTAAACTTCTCGTTGCGCGCATCCTGCTTCTTGAAGTACTCGTCGTACTTCTTCTGGCCGCCGAAGCAAATGCCGTAGCCGTCGCAGTAACACGTGTTCATAGCCGGGCAGTGGACTTCATGGCCAGTAAAGATGTAGTGCCAGATGTATTCGAAGATGCGGCCGGAGAACTGGTCGTCCATGCCCGTTGTAAGCAGCCACTTGCGGTAGTGGATGAAGCGCTCGATAGGCACTTCCTGGATGCGCTGGCGCGACACGGCGAATTGGGCGCAGCAGATTCCCGAGATGGAAGGCGGGATCGGGGCGCCCGGGTGGATCTCCTCCCAGATGTTGCGCCGCCAGTAGATCTCCTCGGGCTTGTGGAAGAAGTCAAAGTCGCCGCCGGGGCGGTCCATGTGGATCCAGTCCGGGCAGCCCGGGTCGTGGTGGCAGCGCACGTTCATGTAGCCCATGCGGGCGACGCGCTCGTGGTTGAGGCGCTGGATCATCTGCGCGGCGTCGAGGCCGAGCAGCTGGTTGTTGTGCCAGGCGTGGCGGTGGGCGTGCATGAAGATGGACGTGTCGGGGAGGTCGTCGTAGTGGTCGATGATGTACGAGAGGTAGACCTGGTCAGTTAGCGGACAATTACAACACCTATATGTAATGATCTGATACGTACCATGGCCTCGCGACCTTTGTTCTTGGGGATCTTGTGCTCGGCATTGGGGTTGTCGACTTCGTACACGACCAGCGGCGCATCGGGGATCTCCTTGTCCATCCAGCTAATGTCCTCCTTCTGCGTCTTGGGCACGATGATCTTGTACGTGTAGTTGCTGCCCGGCGGCTTCGTCTGCGCCTCGGAGAAGCGCAGCGGCAGGCCAAAGTCGAGAGGGTCACCGCGCAGCGAGGGCCGGTAGCCGTGGGCAGCGCTGCTCCCGGAGTTCCATGCTGGAATTGACGGGATTTGGTGGAGATACCACCACACGAGGCCGGCGGCGAGCAAGACGAAGACGAGCGGGATGGCCCTCGGGGGTCCGCTGAGCATGGTGGGTGACGGAACGGCTAGTAGCGAGGGCTCATTGATGGTTGTGGAGACTGGAGAGGTGTTCGAGACCAGGACCTACGTGATGATCATGGCGCGGGATGCAGGCGGCGCCGGGGGTGCGTTCGGCCTCGTTGTCGTCAGCTCTCTCGACGCAAAGGTGGATCTTCCCGTACCTGGGCCTGGTTGCGCGTCCAGATGTCACTAGGCGGGATCTGCATGTGCCAGCCCTGGACCCAACGTGAAACATGCTACACATCTACCTTCCATCGGGTGTAACGCTTGGCAGGGCAACATTACTTTGAATTATTCTAGTAGACTCTATTTCTGTCTTATTCGACTTTCACTCCCTCTTCATGCCCACCCGCCCGATTCCTCTCAACCCCCACCCCAACAACAGCCCCGTAGCGCAGCTCAACGCAAACAGATACCAGAACGCCGCACGGAACCCCTCCATAAGCGCTGCAGGACTCTGTTTCTCAATATAACCCGAATGCTCCGTAACACTAGACGCAATGACAGCACTGGTCGCCAGCCCTACACTTTTGCCAATCTGTGCTACCGTGTTGAAGACGCCACCCGCCAGTCCCTGCGTCCGCGCTGGAAACACTGAGGTGATGACAAGGTTCGAGACCGTGAACAAAGCGTCCGCGCCAATGGGATTGAAGAACACAGAAAGGAACGCGCAGCTCCAGTAGGACCACTCGGGCTGTATGATGCACATTAGCAGCCCGCCAAGAGTCGTGCAAAATAATCCGACGGTTACCGCCCAGTCAGCTCGAACCCTGTGAGCAATCAGGCCCATTACCAGATTGGCGAGAGCCCCGGCTACTGGTCCGGGTAGGAACCGGATCGACGTCTGGATTGCTGACAGCTTCTGCACGTTCTGGAAGAAGAGCGTGTGGTATGACTCCACCGCATTGAAAGTTCCCCATGTGATGAAAACCCCGATGCAGATGATGCTGAAGATGCGGTTGCGCCAGAGTGAATTCGGGATGATAGCGGGCCGGCCCAGTCGTTCCTGCCTGCCAACCCAGAAGATGAATGCCGGGATGAGAGCGATCGCAGTAATGAGCAGACCGAGTGTCGTGGGCTCTCGGATTCTAGCAGTCTCTTCGGAGATCAAACTAAAGACATTAGCATCGAGCCATCAGATATGTGAGATCAACACTCACGCGAAACAGTATGAGAGGAGCGCCAATGATGCGCTTCCAAAGAGGATGCCGACCCAGTCAATTTCACTCTTCAGGCGGGACCAGACATGTGGCTGCTTGTTGTCGACTTTTGGCAGACCGAACAGCCCAAGAACAAAGACGATTGTGTTAGTGATCGCACTGAGGTGGAAACCCCACCGCCATCCGATGGTATCAGCGAAGATACCCCCGAGCACGAGTCCGAATGAGAAACCTATGGGTTGGCCACCGCCCATGGATGCGAATGCAATGTTCCTGCTCTTGCCTTCTGGAAACGTGCTGGTGATGATGCTGACTGCCGAAGGAAGACAGAATGAGATGGCTACGCCGGCAAAAGCACGGAAGACAATAAGCTGTGTTCCGGTCTGCGCCAATCCACATGCTAGTGTAAAGGCGGATTGGAGAAGACATCCTACCAAATACATAGGTCGGGAGCCAACGACGTCGGCGACGGAACCGAGGAGGAGTAGAGTGCAGCCGCAGGTCAAAGCGTAGATGGAGATTGGCCTAGTATCGTCAGTATGTGAGTATGGAATATGAGTTTTGTCTACAAACCATAAGAGTACACTGGGTGCCAGCTCTAGTTCTCGTGCGACCGTAGGCAGAGTCACAGTCATGACACCCGACAGCATGGAGCTGACCATGGTGACACACACTACCGTGACCAAGACGATAGCAGTCGTTCCCTTGCCAGGACCATCTCGCTGTTCAGCAGCGAAAGATTCCTGGGCCACATTGATAGGACGTAAATCCTCAGCTATCGAAGGCGTGTCCTTACTTCCCCCATTGCCTAATGGTTTGGCTGTGAGGGCTGGAATCGATGTCTCGGGGTAGCTCACAAGTTCGATCGATGTTGCAGTTTGTGACATGTTGCAAAAGAGGGATGATGAGTCGTTTGAAAAAAAGTGGTGGAAGATGAGTCGAGATTTGCACTACATATCCTTTGAGTAAGGAAATACCAGGCGGCAAAGCCTGCTATATAAGGGCAGACCGATGCCGGGAAGACGATAGCAACTGCGACATCATACTCCTCGATGTAGAGTCTGACTGCAGCTCTTGGCTACGCCTTGCATCCTTGTAGGGCGTGAGCCGCTGATTAGTACATGTTCAGTGCCTAGGTCTGGTATAGCCTACGGCAACTCCGTAAGTAGGCAGCAATGCGGCGGTAGCCATATCATGATTTGGTGAATGAATTGGGAAAGTTCTGCTAATGGTTCTTCCACAGCGCAAGAGCCGCGTCTAGATTTAGCCAGGTGAGTGAAGAGCGGAAGCTTTCCGTCGGGTGTGATGGCAGACGGAGGTTCGGCGGCGGGACTGACGCGATAAGGGAGCCGCGGCCTTATCGCGTTAGCGCCGTCATGGCTGCAGGGATCTGGTACCTGACACTTGGAGCTCCAAATGCTGGAGGGGACGCGGTAGAGGAGCAATTATTTTGTACCATACGCAACTGCCATTTCTGTCTTCACTGCAGATTTCCGATGCGCTGAACTGTTTCATAT